TAAATCTTCGAGGAATCTTCTGTGAGTTTTATAATGATTGATTCAAGCTACAGGAAATCAGTAAGTCATTTGTTCAAATTTCACCACCTCTTTACTCTCTGATGAAAAACTTGAGTCAAAATATTCAGCTTAAAGAAAATCTAACACCTCTACAACAAAAAGACAAATAATCCAGTTTAAAAATGGGCAAAGGAAATGAACAGCCACTTCACCAAAGAAGATATTCAAGCAGCCAACAGACACAGAGGAAATGCTCACGATCACTAGCCGTTAGAGAAATGCAAATCAAAACTAAAATGAGATACCATCTCACCCCAGCATTACTGGCACAAATCAAAAAAACTGGAAATAACAAATGTTGGAGGGGCTGTGGGGAGATCAGAACTCTTATGCACTGCTATAACTAATAGAACAATTTTGGAAAACAACATGGCTCTGCCTTAGAAAGCTAGAAATAAAAATACCATATGATCCATCAATCCCACTCCTAGGAAAACATCCTAGAGAAATAAGAGCCATCACACAAATAGACGTATGCTTACCCATGTTCACTGCAGTGTTGTTCACAGAAGCAAAAAGATGGAAACAACCTAGATGTCCATCAACAGATGAATGGATAAACCAACTATGGTACATACACACAATGGAGAGTTATGCACAGATAAAGAACAATGATGAATCTGTGAAGCATCTCATAACATGGATGAAACTAGAGGACAGTATGCTGAGTGAAATCAGTCAATCACAAAAGGACAAATATTGTATGAGACCACTACTGTAAAAACTCATGAGAAAGTTTACACACAAAAAGAAACAATCTTTCTTGGTTATGAGGGATGGGAGGAGTGAGGGGGGAAACACTAAATAGATAATAGATAAGTGGTACCTTTTGTGAAGGCTGAGACAGTACACAAGACTGGGGAAGCCAGCACAACTTGTACAAGGAAAGGTCATGGGAGCTCCATAGACACATCCAAACTCCCTGAGGGACCGAATTGCTGCTCTGAGGGCTGTGGGGACCATGGTCTCGGGGAACATCTAGCTCAATGGGCATAACACAGTGTATAAAGAAAATGTTCTACATTCTACCATGGTGAGTAGCATGTGAGCAGACATCCAAGATACTCCACTGGTCTCACCCCTTTGGGAGCAAGGAGGAATGAAGAAAACAAGATACAAGGGAAAGATTAGTTCAAAGGGCTAATGAACCGCAACTATCACGGCCTCCACCAGACTGAGTCCAGTACAGCTACATGGTGCCCGGCTACCACCAGTGACTGTTCTGACAGGGATCACAACAGAGGATCCTGGACAGGGCTGGAGAAGGATGTGGAACAAAATTCTAACTCACAAAAACAGACCAGACCGACTAGCCTGACAGAAATTGGAGAAACCCCAAGAGTATGGCCCTTGGATGCCCTTTTAGCTCAGTAATGAAGTCATTCCCAAGGTTCACTCTTCAGTCAAAGACTAGACAGCCTCATAAAACAAAACAAGACTAATGGGGCACAACAGTCTAGGAATAAGGGCTAGAAGGCAGGAGGGGACAGGAAAGCTGGTAATAGGGGACCCAAGGTTGAGAAGGGACACTGTTGACATGCCATGGGGATGTTAACCATTGTCATAAAACAATATGTGTACTAACTGTTTAATGAGAAACTATTTATTCTGTAAACCATCTAAAGTACAATAAAAAAATAATAAATAATAAGAAAAGATTCAGCTTATTTTGATGTTATAGTTCTCTAGGCCAAACAAAATGTGGGCAACCAAAGTAAAGTACATGCCAATTCATCTCGGTTTTTCAGCTGAAGTAGACTGGAATTCTGAGAAGCACAGGAATTCCTACTTTCTGCCCAGGTTTTTTCTTCATTAGAAATGAAATAGCAGCTGCATAGGTACCCAATCCACTTTTCTGGACAAGAACAGCAGTCAGAATCTAAGGGAAAAAATCAAACATGATTGACGGCACTCAACCCTTCAACATTTCAATGCTATCTACTCATTCAAAAGTCGCTTGTTATTTATCCATTTTTTCTACAAATATTCTGAGATTCTACTCTAAATGTACACGTGTAAAGAAGTCGGATATGACCTTTTTCCTCATGGAGATTATATTTTAAAGACAGAGTCAGAACTATACAATTTCTAATCACTTATTAATTCCATTGAATAATAATTTTGGTAGGTACGCCAAAGAAATTCCATATATTAAAACAGTACGTAGCAGAACATGAAATGGGGGAAGTCAGAAAAATCTTTTTTCTTTTTTTTTTTTTTAAAACAACTGAGCCAAAGCTGAGCTAAGCTGTGTAACAGGAGTTAAATAAATCAAAACCAAACCAAACCCCGTGCGGTCAGGCTGATTCTGACACATAGCAACTTGCATAGCACAGAGCTGATTTGATAACTCAAAGGATTTACATGGGTGTAATCTTTACGGAAGTAGACATACACATCTTTCTCCTGTGGAGCATCTGGTGGGTTCAAATTGCCGACCTTTATTTTAGCAGCTGAGTGCCTAACCACTGCGGCACCAGCGCCCCTTAAATACATCAAAGAGAGATTTAAATGGAGAAAGCATTTTAGCATATTTCCTAAATCCAAGGGAAAAAAAAAAAAAAAGCCCAATGCATTGGTGCAATTCTGATATACATGTTTTTTCAAAAATCAAGATAAATAAAGCAATTAACTTGAAGTCCAATAATGTAGGTTATCAGAGAGAGTGTCTTCAGGGGTTCTTATCTACAGTGATGAATGTCATGGCACATGGTAGTCATTCAAAAGGTCACCAAATGAATAGCTCCTAAATTGTTGGGATAACGTATGAATGAAGTTCTCTAAGGTTACAGACGGTGAGGAGTGTCTAAGAAACACCATTTAAGAATGTCTGACTCTCACTGGATAAGTAGGATTTAGAATTGCAGAAACGTGGGCAATAAATCCTGAGTCCCAGGTTCCAGCAGAAGCAAATGTAGAGGTATGGCCTAGGAGCAAACACAGGCAGGTAATCAGGATTAGCTGTGATATTTACTGTTGTTTTTTCTAATTGGTTGCTTAATGATGAGCACTTCTATGGGAAAAAATAGCTGTCATTCAAAGTAATATTTTCTTTATTACTTTAACATATAAGTGAATTTCACTCAATGTAATCATTTTTTCATTAGAGAACAACGGAATGAGAATGTCTTGTAACCAGGGAAGGGAACTCATATGACTGTGTAATATTCCATCAAGCTGTGAGTGTGAATAGCAAGAAACTGTCTATTTTTCTCTTGTACCAACAATAAGGAAACCCTGGTGGCATAGTGGTTAAGAGTTTGGCTGCTAACCAAAAGCTTAGCAGTTCAAATCCACCAGGTGCTCCTTGGAAACCATAGGGGGCAGTTCTACTTTGTCCTATACGGTAACCGTGAGTCGGAATCGACGCGAACGCAATGGGTGTGGTTTGGTTTGAGTACCAACAACAAGGTTTCCAAAGCTTGGAGCCTACCTTCCTGGAGTCCTTTGGTGGGTCCTGGAGATAATGCTGTAAGAAATGATCAGAAATTCACATAACTAGGTTCAGACTTAAGTGTATCCATGAGATAATAAAACACTACACATCAATAAAATGAAACCTGTCTTGCTAAATGGTTTTATCACACTTTTGATCTTTATAAAGACTTGCATGGAGAAACTCACACATTTTCACCAAAATTCCCAAAGTAGCCATCAACAAAAGACACACTCCTCCTA